ACACACACACAAACACACACACACACAAACACAGACACACACACAAACAGACACACAGACAAACAGACACACACACAAACAGACACACACACAAACAGACACACACACAAACAGACACACACACACACACACAGACACACACACAAACAAACAGACACACACTCTCACACACACACACAAACAGACACACTCACACAAACAGACACACACACACACACACTCACACACACAAACAGACACACACACACACTATCACACACACTAGACACACACAAACAGACACACACTCTCACACACACACACAAACAGACACACTCACACAAACAGACACACACACACACTCACACACACACACACAAACAGACACACACACACACACACACACAAACAGACACTCTCACACACATACACACACATACAAACACACAAACACACTTCAAAGTCAGATCAAAGTCCTACTGCAAGATTTGTTGATGATTCCAAACAAAATATGTCTGAAACACGCTACTTGCTATGGTTTATTGTTTATTCTTAGCAGTTTGGTACCATTTTACGTTGAGTTATTGAAATTTGATGTTTTTTGTTAAAAATAAATGATTACCTACTTCGTCTTTTCCTTATAGCATGGTCAGATTTATCTGTAAGCATATTTTGGCATCTTTGTTTACTCTCACCCAACACAAATGTGTTTTTTTTTTTTTTTCTACAATTTTAACTTGTGACAAAATCTAAAACGTAAGAGGTTAAGTTCGTTACAACATTTGGCTTACAGAGTTCAGCTTATACATGCAGCCAAATAGTGGCTATTGATATTTTAGATGTCACCATATTTTTAGGTTTCGCCTGTCTGAACTTACTTGAATTATTTTTTTAGTGAAGTAAAATAAATATTAAATATAGCAAAAACTAGCCTATTTTACATAACAAATATGGTACATTTAGAGGTAAATAAATCAAACAAACACCAAAATAATGCATACATTGCTCGTTTTTATTTTATCAAAGACAGTGATATGACATTGAATTAAAAGAAAAAAATCACACCTGAGACCTTCCTAGCCAAATGTATCCAGGAAGGAGCAGTTAAGGGCTGCTTCCCGAAGGATGCTTGAGGGTTAGGAGTACTTCAGCAGCATTAACTGAAGCAAACAATCCCTGATCTGAGCAAGAAGTACTAGAAATAACCCAGCAGACTGGTGTGCTGCTTCTGTGTCCCTGACAGACACGGTGTCTGCGTGTGTCTCTGTGCTTCTGCGTCGCAGTGAAGCTGCTCCGCGCTGCGTGGGAGTCGCACGCACATAGAAACACGCAGCTGAACGCGCAGCCAGCGCACAGCAGCCTGACACACTGTAACCATAAAGCACACAAACACCACAACACTGCAGCAAAGCGCTGCAGTCAAGTCACGCACCACACGGCCGTGTACTCACGCGTTGCGCTGATCTGGACGCGGGTCACTCACTCACATCCCCAAACGCGCCCGAGAAACGCACCGCTGCGCGTCAACCCGCACGCGACGACAGCAACAGTTTCCAGACTGGCGTCATTGGAGCCGATTCCAAGATCGAGGTTGGTTGCAGACACGCCCCTTCTGGGATTTAAACCAATCAGAAGACCAGCAGCTCAATGTGGGCGTGGCACACAGCAACATCATAGAGAGAACCGCTGTAATATGATGCATTTTTATAAATTAAAAAACATTTACTAAATAATTCTTCAATAATACAATATATAATATATGTAGGGCGAAACAATGATTTATTTAGTATTTAATTTTCACATTTCAGTGAATATAAGATAATATATGTAGGGCGAAATAATGATTATTATTATTTATTATGATTATTATTATTATTAATAATCATGAGTATTTAGCATTTACTTTTCACATTTCAGTTAATTTGTAAATATAAATAAATATTTATAAGTACATTTAATTTAATTTAATTTAATATATGTAGGGCGAAATAATGATTTCTTTAGTATTTACTTTTCACATTTCAGTGAATTTGTAAATAATATAATATAATATAATATAATATAACATAATATAATATATGTAGGGTGAAATAATGATTATTATTTTTTAATATGATTATTATTAATAGTAATAATGATTATTTAGCATTTACTTTTCACATTTCAGTTAATTTGTAAATATAAATATAAATAAATATTTACAAGTAAATATAATTTAATTTAATTTAATATATGTAGGGCGAAATAATGATTTCTTTAGTATTTACTTTTCACATTTCAGTGAAATATATATATATATAAATAACAGTTTGTGTAATACAGTAAAAAAAATACAGTAAAAACTGTAATGTTATGAAAATTTGTTATAATTGAAAACTACTGTTTTATATTTTAATATATTTTCAAATATAATTAATTCATCGCAACGCTATTTTTTATAGCTTTTTTAAAAATGTATACTTTTGAAAAAAAGTCTCACCAAGGCTGCATTTATTTGATCAAAAATACAGTAAAAACAGTAATACGGTGAAATATTATTACAATTTAAAGTAACTGTTTTCTCTGTGAATATCTGTTAAACTGTAATGTATTTCTGTGATCAAAGCTGTATTTTCAGCATCATTACTCCAGTCTTCAGTGTCACATGATCTTCAGAAATCAGTATAATATGCTGATCTGCTGCTCGAGAAACATTTCTGATTATTATCAATGTTAAATCAATGTATTATATACATTTAAAAATGAAATTGCATGGCATTGACAAAAACGCAGAATATATTAAGCTACGGAAATCAATATATTCACCTTTCCAAATCACTCACACCGCCTAGCGGACAAATGAAGAACAGCGATCATTTAAAATGGAAATATGGATTGGATAGATGAAAAAATATATTTTTGCAAAAAAAAAAAAAAACCTGTTTTGTTAGTGACACATGTGTACACAGAGATTTAAAATAATATGAATACCTATTTTTAGTAATGTTAGATTTTAAGAGTTTTACTTTGCTTTCATTTCCGGCCTTTGAATATGATGCTATTTTAAATCCAATCTGGTTTTGGGGAACAAAGAGACACGTTGGAAACATTCAGAATGGAATAGATGAATTTAAATCAATGTGAAGGTCAAGCTGTTTATGTCCTTTTGAATGATGGAAATCAGCATCTTGACCTTCACAGCCCAAATGTCTCTTAAAGTCAACAAGTAGATTAGTTGTTTCTAACAGCACATCCTCCCGATGAAGTCCTGAGATGTAGCTCATGTATTAGTCTACTTCATCTTCTAACGTCAAAGTCATACACCCACAGCACAACTATAAAAACTCATGGCCAGACAGCCTGATGTCAGCCACCTACACGCCAGGAACAACCGCAGGCAATATGAGGGAGAAAAGAAACACACGTAAAATTAATTTCATTAATAATATAAAATCTCAGACACCTAAAAGGCACAATGTATGTGTGTTTGTTTGTTTCTCCCAGTGATTTTCTATGTTTTTAAACACTAAGTTTAAAATGATGTTGTATTAGAAGTAAAATAGAATATTTTGGTGATTTCTGTGCCCCAAATTAAAATTCCACTGTCGTTATGTATTTGTAATACCCAGCTAACAACGTTCTAAAAACTTCAAGCGTTCTGCCGAGGTTCATTCAAAGTTATGAACAAACGTATCATTAATAAAACGTTTTGTTCAGAGTTATCTGCCGTGTGATAACGTTCTCAAAACGTCAGCACAAAAACGCTATTTATGCATAATTCGTGGAACGTTTTAGTTCTGAAACGTTTGGCTGGATGTTCACATTCTTAATCGTTTCAGAACGTTCAGAGAACATTCCAAAAGTTACGTTCTCGTGATGTTTGCAAAATTATTAAATGGAATGTTCCTTTAACGTTTGCAAAAAGTTCAGAAAGCATTAAGAAATGATGTTTTCTTTAGGCCTGCTTAACCCTTTGTGGTGCAGAGTTGCCATATGGCAAGAATTAATTTCTATTTATTTCCTTGTTACTCTGAAAAAAATACGATATACTACTGCACTATGGGAATTGAAAGGGCCTTTAGGTACACTGTAAAAAATGACAGTGAATTTAACGGTAAAAGACTGTAAAAATGCTACAGTAAAAACCTGTTAAATGGTTAACGGTAAATTCCCCTACTATATACGGTGAAAAACTGTATTGGACATTACATGTAATTTTACGGTAGTATACCGTTTTTGGAAGTGAAAGAGACTATAATTTTTCAGTGAATAACCGTAAATTGACATTCCCAGAATTCCCTGTGTTACATTTCAAATTTGATGTTTTTTTGTTGAAATAACTATGTTTCTTCTTAGTTTTTTCTTATCAGTTTTGTATATTAGGGTTGTGTGTTACGCCTAATGTTGTTAAATTAATGTTTATTGCATTATTTCAGTTTCATGTGTGTTACCGTGATGGTGTTTAGTGTTTGTGTGAATGACACTGTGCACCTTCTATATATGTTATTATTTAAAAGCTGCTTGTGATGGGCTTTGGTTCATCATGTGGCTTTCTCATCACCTCCTGCATTTGGTGGTTATCAGTGTATTACAAAGCTACAAAACAGATTTCAGTACTTCAATAGGTTGGTATATTAACATTATATCAGTTAATGAAATTACAGTATTTTACTGTAAATTTAAGTAAAACCGTAAAACGTTGCTACCGTAGTTTTTATGGTACAATTCCGGCAACCACAGCTGCCGTTTTTTACCGTAAATTTTACAGAAATTATTTTTACAGTGTAGACAATGATGTGCTGTTTTTAAGTCACATGACATTTGAATGTCAGTCCAGAACTCTTTCTCACACCTGCTGAAGTGCTCCAGAAATCGCTCTATTAACCTCATTTCTATACATCTCTTCTCAAGGGGGATTTTTTTTCAGCATCTGTGTTAAGTAAATTAGATATATTTATTCACAATTTAACTTTGTCTAACATAGTTTTACTGTAAATTGAGAAAATATCAATGTTTCCATATGGCAACGCTGTGCCACAGTGGAACTGCAGTAATGTATTTCCCCATTGGGATTTTTTATTGATAGTAGAATCAATAATATGATTGCAGTTTATTTATTTGAAGTGTTCATTGTAGCATACTTCACTCTTAAAAATAAGGGTTTTTTTGCAGTGATGGCATAAGAGCCATTTTTGGTTCCCCAAAGAACCTTTCAGTAAAGAGTTCTTGAAAGAACCGTGTTTTTACATTTTAATAATCTAAAGAACCTTTTGTGGAACGGAAAGTTTCCGTAGATGTTAAAGGTACACTGTAAAAAAAATTCCGTAAAATTTACGGTAAAAAAAACGGCAGCTGTGGTTACCGGAATTTTACCGTAAAAAATACGGTAGCAACGTTTTAGGTTTTACGGTTTTAACTTAAATTTACAGTTAAATACTGTAATTTCATTAACTGATATAATGTTAATCTACCAACCTATTGAAGTACTGGAATCTGTTTTGTATCTTTGTAACACACTGATAACCACCAAATGCAGGAGATGATGAGAAAGCCACACGATGAACCAAAGCCCATCACAAGCAGCTTTTAAATAATAACATATATAGAAGCTGCACAGTGTCATTCACACAAACACTAAACACCATCACGGTAACACACATGAAACTGAAATAATGCAATAAACATTCATTTAACAACATTAGGTGTAACACACAACCCTAATATACAAAACTGATAAGAAAAACTAAGAAGAAACATAGTTATTTCAACAAAAAAACATTAAATTTGAAATGTAACGCAGGGAATTCTGAGAATGTCAATTTACGGTTATTCACTGTAAATTATACGTCACTTCCAAAATTGGTATACTACCGTAAAATTAATGTCCAATACATGTAATGTCCAGTACAGTTTTTCACCGTATATAGTAGGGGAATTTACCGTTAACCATTTAACAGGTTTTTACTGTAGCATTTTTACAGTCTTTTACCGTTAAATTCACGGTCATTTTTTACAGTGTTCTTCATGGAACCATCGAAAGAACCTTTATTTTTAAGAGTGTTGCATTTATGTATAAATAACAAAATGATTTCTTCTTCTATTTTACGGAAAGGCCAGTAGGAAGAGTGCAGATGTGAGGATGAGTTCAGTGAGTCTTCAGTGAAGGTTAAAGGATAGGGATCGACTTATTTTTGTTTAGCATGAGTTCCAAGTAAATCTATACATTTCTAAAAAATTATGTTTTTCAAAAATCTGTTTTGATTTGTATGATTGAAGCAATCTCATGTAATACAAACTTTTTTGAAAAAATATGTCATGGTTAGAACCATAGAAGGTTAATGGGACTTTTATCAAAAATGTTTTTAGAACAGTTATGATTTTTAATGTTTTTTCTTCTGCTCACCAAGCCTGCATTTATGTGATACAAAATACAGCAAAAACAGTAATATTGTGAAATATTTTACTATTTAAAATAACTGTTTTCTATGTGAATATCTGTTAGAATATAATGTATTTCTGTGATGCACAGCTGTATTTCCAGCATCATTACTGCAGTCTTCAGTGTCACATGATCTTCAGAAATCAGTAT